TCTGAAAACACTTCCGAGTAAACGTTACTACACTGTCAAACAACTTGACAGGATGTGCAACAGCCTCTTCACATTTCCATCAGGGAAAAAAAATCCCTCTTATAGGAACAGCTGCAATTACACCTCAATTAAGAAGCTACACATTCAATTTGCAGTTAATGAACTCATTGTACAGGTGAATGTTTTTCAATAAGAAACTGCTAAGTGAATGATAAAAAATAGTGGTAATAACACGAAAATCAATCACACAGGATAGCTGCTTCTAGTCAACTAGGTTCTGGTGGAAACCTGGACTAGAAGAGTAAAAATGGCAATTTAATCAACCTGCCACATGTTGCATCCTGTTCGCAATGCAGAATGCTAAACATACTTGCTTTGTAGTCCCTATGTTTCAAAAAGCAATTTTGCTACAGTATTTTAATACAGTAAATAGTAATACAATAGCAAAAATACAGTAAACAATCTTGGCAGGCAGCAACATATTCCTACGTAATATGTGCTCTCAGGATGGCATTTATTATATGAATTTGTATACATGTACTGTGTAAGGAAATCTGCCACATGAAACCAAAGGCCCATTAGTCCCTATGGAAAACTTTACTGTCTTATTACGGCGGCCTCTTTTTCCTTTGTGTCAGAAGCAATCCCGTGATGGTTCTAGAATGGAAAGATCGGCCAACAAGGTGTTGTCATTCACCCAGGGACTGCCAAAATGTGTTCACAGTCCTCACAGGCTCCTTCTATGACCGGCCCCCCTCAACAACAACAACAACGGCTAACCAGATGCCTCTGGAATGCCCCGAAGGAGGTATGACGACAGTAAGCAAACCTGGAGTTTGTGTGTTTTTACAAGTGGAGACACTGCCTCCTTCAGCAGTTTTGCCCCTACTCTTAACACACTTCCTTCTCCCTCCCCGTTTCTCCCCTCTCACAGCACCTTCTGAAGGATTGTGCCTCTTCAGACCACAACAGCCAACTGCTCTGGAGAGAAACAGATCTCTTTCAGGCCTACTGAATTTTTGACCTAGATAAGGAATGATGCTTTGAAGCACATGAAAAAAGCATTAAACTATCATAACCTTCCAGATAGGCATGGTTCTTGCCCCATCTCCTGGAGGGGGCAATTCTATTGGCCTCATGGTGCAGTAGAGGAGCCTCACAGCACAGTGGTTAAACTGTAGTACTGCAATGAAGACCCTGTTCATGACCTGGGTTCAATCCCACACTCAAGTAGCTGGTTCAAGGTTGACTCAACCTTCCATCCTTCTAAGATCAGTAAATTGAGTACAGTGGTGTCCCGCATAGCAATGATAATCCATTCTGGATAAATCGTCGCTATCCGGATTCGTTGCTATGCGGGGGGAACCCATAGGAACGCATTAAAACAGGTTTAATGTGTTCCTATTGGGGGAAACCTCACCGCTATGTGGGGAATCCTCCATCCGGCCTCCATTTTCACCACCTCAGTAAGCGAGGGCAGGGCGCGAAAACAGAGCGGGCGGCCATTTTATTCTTCCGGGGGCCATTTTGGAACCGCCAATCAGCTGTTTTTAGAATATCGCAATGCGAAGTTGGGTAGGTGAAATGCTTACCGATCATCGCAATACGATTTTTGGCCTATCTAAACATCGCAATGCAATCGCATTAGCAATCGCAAAAACGCATCGCTATGCGGATTCGTCGTTAGACGGTGCGCTCGTTAAGCGAGGCACCACTGTAATTCAAAATTATAAAAATTATAAAATGCCCAGAGAGTACTTCAAGCACTATGGGTTGGTATATTAGAAGCAGATTTATCCAATAGTCTGCATCAGTTTGAGCACAGATGAATTCAATTAACAAAGACAAAAACAACAACTACATGACATAAAGCTTGTTCTGGAGAATCCCACTGGGGAATTGACATTTTCACTGGGAAAATGTCTTTTTTGTTCTGCTTGCAGGGATGGTTTAAATTTCCTCTGATCAGACTGACATCACTTTTGACTGTTTTTTGTCCAGTGTGACCACCTGATCTGATGCAAAGGGGTGTCATTTCCCCTCAGCCAAGCACCTGTTGCCCTGAAACAATTTTAATGCTTTCCAACACTATTGCTGCAACAGATTAGTGCTACAGCCCAGCCTTAAAATGTAAAAATGAATGAATCAATCAATCAATCAATGAATCAATGAATGAATCAATGAATGAATCCATGAATGAATGAATGAATAAATAAATAAAAGGCGAAGACACATTCACACAGTACTTTTCATAATGTTTCCCTGTGACAGATCAAAAGGGACTTATGTAGCCCCACATCCCATATTAAGAGACAAGGTGGAGAGACTGTTTGGCTCAACACGAGTCTGAGGGTTCCTGCAGTCAGTTGTTGTTCCAACCAAGATTTGCTCTCTGGAGAGACAACCAGGCTTGCTTCTGACTAAGGGAATTCTGATCTGCGAGTGCTAACCCATCTTGGCTGGGTATTTCACCAACTCAATTATTGAAGGAAACAAGAGCACATAGAGCATTTTTCTGAATGACTATAGCAATTTCACCTGCAAAAAATAATCAAGGATCCAATATCAAAAAAAGTTGAATTAAAGTCAGTTTTCCTGTCTATGCGGTCACACCTTCTGTTACACAGAAGGTTAGTAAGGCAGCTTAGAAATGATATGCTCATCTCTCTGCGACCACTAGAACTGTGTGAACATCCTTATCCATAAGTTAGGGTTTCTTGATGCAGAATTAAAAGTAGTGTGTGTGGAGGGGGGCAAACAGATAGTACTCAGCCCTATTATATTTTATATTTTAATTATCCATGCACTACAATCTCTCTCTCTCTCTCTATCTATCTATCTATCTATCTATCGTGTGTGTGTGTGTGTGTGTGTGTGTGTGTGTGTATACACACACACACATACACAGGGATGTTATGGATATAGCCTTTCTACAAAGCCATTCTCGCCCATTCCTCTGATAGTCTCTCTATTCTTCTGCTCTTTTCCACCTGGGGAAACTCAAGGAAACTGAGAGAACCGACAGAGCTCTATCTGTACCATTGCTCTCCTCTCCCTTGGCATGCAACCTCCTTTCCATAGCTGTACCTTTTAGTAAGTGTTACACAGCCGTGCTCAAAGCACTCAAGACTAGTTGCCACAATCCCCACATCCATTCTCCTTGCCTCCACACATCCTGGTAGCCTAGTAAGGAGAAGACACTAGAACTTAGTAGCCAGATTTCCTCTGCATGCAAAATTCCAACCAACATCTGCATAGGATTTTAAGCATTTTATTTATTTTTTTAAAAAAGGGGGAGGAAATAAATGAAAAGATAAAATGGTTATAAAAAGTAAAAAGGTGATGTTTACTGAAAACATCCTTGGAAAAATGGAATAAAGTCACATGACCCATTCCAGATCATCTCAAAGAAGATACTCACTTAGGAGGATAAGAAAGTTCTGGCTTAACCTAGCTCTCTTACTCATTCCTAACCCATGCTGTTACCTACAGGGTTCTGCTTGGGAGTAACCAAGCCCCTTTGGAGGTTTGAAGTCTGCCCTTACATGAGTTCTCTCTCACTTTGCCTGAATCCCCAAATTTCTCAGGCTTGCTTTATACATAGCAATGCTTGATGTTACAGTTGCCTTAAACACCTGCCATTGTTTTTGATCCCTTCAATCACCTTTCAAGTTAATGGATTGCTTCCTTTCCAGTTCAGGAAGGACTTTTCCAGTGAATATGACAATCATATCAAAGCCTGTTTTGAACTGGAGAGCCCTAGAAGAGTCCTCTTTGAAAATGCATCTTGGCCAGTTCTTCCTGGCACTTGCAGTGACAGAAGGCACTTCAAATGTTTGATTTCCCCCAATTTGGTCTTTCCCCCAGCAAAAAAGTACCATTTCACAAAGCCCGCATCTTTCCCAATTCCACCACAACAGATTATTTAGGACTGAAAATGTAGCACTTTGAAAGGGGCATGCGTATGCAATCAAGAAAGGAAGTGCTGGGGTACCTTTGGCGTCTCAACCTACAGTTGTTATAGCAGCACCCAGGCATTCAAGCTCTCCTTCCCCACCCATCAAAGCCAGAGTCAGCATCTGTATTTGAGGGGGGGGGGAGAAAACTAAGCCTTGCGAGGATAGGCAATATAACTAATTCTGTTGCCACCAACCATTAGTAGACATTAATCGAATTTTGAAATAGCAGCTACAGTATTTTTGCTCTGCACTGAATGTGAAGTATACAAAATGACAGCATCTCAGTGGAAACGAAAATTAGCAGCTCACTTACCTTTGCAACTACCCGACATTCAATCCCGGATCATTTTTGCAGCCCTATGTGGGCTACCCCTCCAGCGAATGTTAGGCAATCTTTCAGAACGGAAGGGGGGAGGGAATGACCATGTTGCCACCTCAGCACATTTGTAATGTTGTGGCTTTCCAGGGGCAGTCCAGTTGATTCTTACATTTAGTGATTTACCATCACCACCCCAGTCATTCAGAAATCAAATGTTGCACTAAACCATTCAACTTTAACACTGATAATCTTTATAGATTTATTTTTATTTTATTTTTTGAATTGGGAAGACGAAGTTGAGAGTGAGCGATCTAAAGGGATATATGGTCGTAAAGAGGAAAATGTATACAACTATACATACGGCTCACATTCCCACTTGCAGAGCACTGGACTGCAGCGAGACTGCCCGGTAAAATCAGTCGCCTCCAAACCAAAACCGGGGCCAGTAGCTCCCGCCTCTTTGCCTAACACGCAAGGACCCCGATCCTTGTTCTTCAGCACTCACTACTCGGAAGCTGTAGCAAAATGAAGAGATCCCGTTGCTCTTTATATCGGATAACAGCAGGCTCTCCTGAATGGGCATTTCCTCCACACGGGCAGCCTCTCCGTTTTCCACCCGTGTCTGGTGGGGAATGGGGGTGGGGAGGAGAGAACTGAGCCACCTGCCCTAAACGATCGTTCTTACAACACATAAAGGAACGACATGCTGCTGCCTCCGTTACCTCTCAAGCGATCCCCGTAATTTGCGACCCAGAAAGGCGGCGGCGAATGGGGACACTGCAGTCCGTGGGAAGGTGGGTTCGGGAAGATTCCCCACCAGCAGCGGCGGCGGCGGCGGCGGCGGCGGCGATGCCCACCACGCCCCACCCGTCCCCGGTTTCGGTAAACAGCAACACGCGTCCCCCAACCCTCAGCACGCAAGGGGCACGGGCGGCGCCATTTACTCCCGCGGAGAGAGGGGGGGAAGGGGCAGCCAGAAAGGGGGGCGCCGGCCGTGCCGCCAAGGGCGCCTCACCTCCCTCTTCTTCTCCTGCACCCTTCTCTTCCAGCCAGGCTTCTTCCCGGAGCAGAGAAGGGGGGCGGAGGGCGGCGGGATGGAAAGGAGCCGAGGAATGCCGGACGGGCCCCTCCTGGCTGCCTCAGGCTTCCAGAACCGAAACGTTGGCCGGAGGGCGCCGCCTGTCTTTCCCCTCGTGCTGGAGGTGCGCGGCCACTCAGCCCACACACGCGCGCGCGCGCGCGCACCCCGCTGGCCCCCTCACGCGTGCACAAATTGGACTCCTCAGAGTCACTCCCTTTCTCTCTCTCTCTCTCTCTCTCTCTCACACACACACACACGCACGAGTTTTTCCCTCCTCCTTCCACACCCGCTCTTGTCTTTACAGTACGTATTTGGGGAGGTGGGGGGACCCTTGACCTACAATTCACTCGCCAGTGTCCTCCCCCTCCACACACCCCAGCACCAACTCGGGTGATTTCTGGCCCCCGCTGAGAGCCACTGAACGTTTTCCTCGCCACGTGCCAAAATACAAAAAAAGTGGCTGCCTCCGTGCTTTTTTTTTTTTTTTTTGCGCGCCAAGAGCTTGTCTCTGTGTGTGAGTGAGTGAGAGAGAGCGTGATCATGACAGACCAGTGGGACATAGCCGGCATATTTTATAGATGAGACGTTCTAGAAGGGGAAATAAGAGCTAGAAGGCTCTCACAGCTGAGAGGATCTCAAACAGGGATCCCCGCTCCTAAAGGGGAGCTGCAGAATATTCCCACTTTTTGCACATTACAGGGGTGCCTCACTAGACAGTTACCTCACATGACAGTTTTTTCCACTAGACATTGGCTTTTTGCGATCGCTATAGCGATTCGCAAAACAGTGATTCCTATGGGGGAATTTCGCTGGACAATGTTTGGTCCCTGCTTCGCAAACCGATTTTCGCTAGACGACGATTTTGACGGCTCCCTCCACACTTGCAAAACAAGTGTTTTGGGGACCTAAGCTTCACAAGACAGCGATTTAAACAGCTGATTGGCGGTTCGCAAAGCGGCTTTCCTATGGCCGATCTTCGCTAGACAACGACAGTTCTTCCCCATTGGAACGCATTAGACAGGTTTCAATGCATTCCAATGGGGAAATGCTTTTCGCTAGACAATGATTTAGCTAAACAGCGATTTCAGTGGAACTGATTATCATCGTCTAGAGAGGCACCACTGTACTTGGTCACATTACTGTCACACAGAAGGCTGGACTTTTGCCCACTATCAGGTTGTGAGATGTGACATTCGCGGGGTCTTGATAGCTGAGGCCAACCGTGCCCCCTTTTGGGGGGGGCATCTGAGTGAATGTGTGTTCACTGTAAACTCCTTTCTCCCTCAGATTTAAATGGCAGGTTGAATGAACTACAGAAAGAGGACAAGACCTCCCCATTACGAAGCCTGCTAATTGCATAGCAGATCAAACTGTGGGGTTCCCTGCAGACAAATGCACTAAAAGGATCTACAGTACTGGTCTCTTTAAGCCACATTTTCAGAAATAAGCCTGCACCACTTGCCCCAAATCTGAAGATTTAAGTTGTCATTCATTTACCATATTCATAATTGAAGAAAGTCAGGATTCTCATGGTGCAAATGTGGTGCACTGATTTTAAAAATAAATTAGAGAGCTAGACGAACAATTCCAAGTCCAACCCAAAGTCTGTTGTGTGTTTATTTACACCTTTTGGTGTAAATAAAATATTAGGATCAAAATAATCATACCGTATTTGGTTAAGGGAGGATAGACCAAGGACATGGTAGCTGCTAACTGTTGGGAATAGTGTATAGACTTTTCTTGGCTTTTGCAAAAATATTGGTAGCTGCTAACTGTTGGGAATATAGACTTTTCTTGGCTTTTGCAAAAATAACTCTTAGCAGAACAAGCCTCTGTATATTTACTCAGAAGTAGTCCTAATGTGTTAATCAGTGCTGACTTCCAGGAAAGTACATGAGATTGCCTCCTAAGTTTAATGTAGAATATTTTACAATCCAATCCTATATTCAGCAGGACACAGTTCCACGTGATTGGGTGAAAGACTGTAGCCTTAGAACAGTACAGCAGAAATAACCATGATAAGCTTCAAACTTCTTTAACTTTTTGTCTTTCTACAAAAATCCTGTTTCAACAGTGAGAATTTTGCTATAGATCTGAAAAAAAATCCCATTCTGATTGTCTCTCTAACCCTTCACAAGCTTAAAACTTTAACTTTTTGTCTTTATACAAAAATCCTGTTTCCACAGTGAGGATTTTGCTATAGATCTGAAAAACAATCCCATTCTGATTGTCTCTCTAACCCTTTCAGATCTACAGTTTTTCATTTTTGTTTCTGTTTTGGTATTTTCTGTTTTTGCCATTGATATCCACTAAACATCCTTGGAAAAGACCTTGATGTTGGGAAAGTGCGAAGGCAAGAGGAGAAGGGGACAACAGAGGACGAGGTGGTTGGACAGTGTCATCGAAGCGACCAACATAAATTTGACACAACTCCGGGAGGCAGTGGAAGATAGGAGGGCCTGGCGTGTTCTGATCCATGGGGTCATGAAGTGTCGGACACGACTAAATGACAACGAAACATGCTGTTTCCAACAATAGCTTTAGGCTAAAGCTAAAGGATGCTTTGTATGTTAACATTTTCAAAGAACACTGGCAAGATACCTTACATATTTACTTAAAACATCAATAGGAACAACAAAACACGTTTGTAAACTATCTCTGTATACTTATTACAGAAGTAAACTTGGAAAGAAAGAAACTGGAATTGGATCATGCTATTCATTGAATATAAACACAGGTTTGTTAACCCCATACAGTGTTTGAAACAATCCCAATCTTTGACCTTGGCTATTTATCCTGTCTGATTCTTGTCCTCCCTTTGGCCTAGGTTTTGCAAAGGGTATATTAAAGGTAGTAAACTTCTTCGTTAGCTGCACTACTTTGGGTTGAGTGATCTTCCACACAAAAGGGCTACACTTTACACATTGTGCACTTACCTTTATTTATCCTCTTCTGTTAATCCCCACTGCTGTTCTGTGTATCGTTCCCTAACATTTAATCTTGTGTTAAATTTTTACCTTTATTTATCCTCTTTTGTTAATCTCCGCTGCTGTTCTGTGTATCATTCCCTAACATTTAATCTTGTGTTAAATTTAACGATGCAAACACTGATTATCGGTATGCACAATGAGAATTTATGTATTTTAGTCATTCTGCAATGTCTTCTACAGTCCTTTCAATTGTTTGCATCACATTTTTGTTTTTGTTTGTTTATCATATTTGTGTTGTGCCTTTCATTGTGGTGCTCAGGATGGTGCACATCTGGTGGTCCTCATCTTTGAGGTTCCCCATCTTTTTCTCTTAATAGTCCTATTTCAGGAGTATCCAAGTTTGGAAACATTACTTTTTTAGGCTGAGCTCCTGGAATCTCTCAATGGTTTCTGGGAGCTGGCATCCAAAAAGTAACTTTTCCAGCTTCTGGTACGGCTCAAACTGAGACAGCATCTTTCCAGGCACTGCTCACCTTATTTGCTTCATAGCCAAAGTGAGGCTTTGAATCTTCACCTTCCCTGAAATATAAATCTAATCTGTAACTACTCCATTGTCTATAATATTGCAGTGTCTGTAATTTGTATCCTCTCTGGCACAGAGCCTGCCAGAGATACTGGATCAAAATACTGTAAATACTGTTTGGAATCTTTGGGTTTTCTAAACTTAGACCTAGGCTTGTTTGCATTAACTACACATTTTAAATTTCTGGATCTCAGTCCTCTTCTAATTACAAAGTTCAAACGCAAACCTTATGCAGCGTGATGGAAATTTGGGGAATCGTCAAGGATTCTTATGGAAGCAGGCTGTTATTGCAAGCCAGCTGGGAAAACAGGATCTGCAAAGTATTTTGGGAACTATAAGATAAAAGGCTCTGAAGGCTTTGCAAAATATGTCTGAATGTGGGAAAATGAAAAGAAAAATGTGGAAAGTGAGAAAAAAAAAGGTATCCTCCTGTTTATTTCATACATCCACTGTGTGTGTTCAGCCAAAGGTCAATCATCTTATTTTTCTCTTTATTTTGCAGGAGCCAAAGGCTGGAAGTTAAATGCTCTGCTGTGCCTCTATGAACAGATGAGCTTGGGCAGAGTCTCCCTCCATTTCCCATAGGCCTCCAAGGGTTCCCTGCCTAAGCGATGTGGTGGGCACAGGGTGCATCCTTTCTCCTAGGCATTACCCAGGTTTAAATGCTCCAGTAAAGTGTGGCAGATGGAAAGACCCAGAAAGGCAAGAAGAGGGAATAAGACCACCAACGAGGTCTCTCACCAGCGGGAGAATACAAGGGCGTCAGAAGAAGAGCTGGGGCAGTTGGTGGGAAGGAGGAAGAGTAGGTCAATTGATGCCCCCGACTGGAGTGAAGAAGAGCCTGAGTTACCCCGCATGACAGTTTTTTTCCCTAAGTGTGGCAGATGGAAAGACCCAGAAAGGCAAGAAGAGGGAATAAGACCACCAACGAGGTCTCTCACCAGCGGGAGAATACAAGGGCGTCAGAAGAAGAGCTGGGGCAGTTGGTGGGAAGGAGGAAGAGTAGGTCAATTGATGCCCCCGACTGGAGTGAAGAAGAGCCTGAGTTACCCCGCATGACAGTTTTTTTCCCTGACATTTCCGCCAATTGATGCCCCAGACTGGAGTGAAGAAGAGCCTGAGGTACCCCGCATGACAGTTTTTTTCCCTAGACATTTCCCAGGACAATGTTTGGTCCCTGCTTTGCAAACCGATTTTCACTAGAGAACGATTTTGACAGCTCCCTCCGCGCTCGCAAAACGGGTGTTTTCGGGACCTAAGCTTCGCAAGACAGCTATTTAAACAGCTGATCGGCAGTTCACAAAGTGGCTTTCCTATGGCCAATCTTCGCTAGACAACAACGATTCTTCCCCGCTGGAACATATTAAACAGGTTTCAATGCATTCCAATGGGGAAATGCTTTTCGCTAGACGATGATTTCACTAAACAGTGATTTCAGTGGAACAGATTATCATTGTCTAGCGAAGCGCCACTGCACTGGCTTTGGAGTTTCCAAGCATAATTCTCCACGAGGTGACTATGTTCCTGACTACTTAAAGGAATTCATCTACCATGATCCAGAGGAGCCCAGCCAAGTCAAGACCGGGCTGTGAGTTACCCAATAAATTAA